TGGGAGATGGGCGGACAATAAATCGAATGTAATAAATAAATAAAGTAATAAATAATAAATAAATAAATTTCTAAAGAACATAGAACACTCATAAGCAATTTAGAATCTTATAAGCCAAACCAATCACCTTCAGTTGTGATCCTAGGCAATAATGTGTCAAGCAGCATTCCCTTGAAAAAGTATATTCAATATTCCATATTAGCTAAACACTAACAATTAAAGGGAGCTCAATAAACTACAGTATTCTAAATTCCAAAGTTATACAAGCAATGAATAATAAATGCCAATTTGGATATGTCAATAAATACAAATGCAGGTTACGAATACTAACTTAACCTTATGCAAGAAAGCCAGTTGGATGAATTTGGGCTAGTCAGTCTCCCTCAGCTCAATCCACCTCACAGGGTTGCTCTGGGGAAAATAGGAGGCAGGAACATTATGCATGCCACCTTGAGTATTACAAAATAAAGGTGGGATACAATAATAACAACAACTATGTAAACAAAAACAAAACATAAATAGTTTAGATGTAGCATCTTACTTACCATGTAAGGATTTCATTCCCAATGTGTATGATGGCCTTCTTAGTGGTAAGGACTTGGGGAGAGAAGGGTATGTACTGGTGAAAAGAACATCATTTGGAAGAGCTTGGTCCAGAAGAGAAGCTCGTGAGGGGAAGAAATGTTCTCTTTGACTGCTATAAATACTCTCATCTGACAGAGTTCGCTGCAAGGCACGCCTTGAAATAGGAGTGCTAGGGAATGAAGACTGAAAGAAGAGTAACACAAGAATAACTTATACAAGAATGTGTAACACTTCCTTTAAAAATGAGCCACTCTTAATGTAATGTTTTATATCATGGATTGGCTTCAGAATGATTTCTAGGGGTGCAGTTAATCTGCACCAATTAAATGCTTACTATGAGAATTCTTTTTATCCTGCGCTATAGAAAAACATATTGGAAAAGTGTGAAAATGTGGTTTTTTAGTGATATTCTCATGCTTTTGATAACAATATGGTATCCCAATCTCTTGAAAGCCACTGGGACTACTTCAATAAAGGAGTCAGCTTTATTATTGTACAGCATTTCAAAAAATGTACATACTCCACAGTTGGAAGAAAGAAAGCACACCTTTCCCCAAAACTAAAAGCATTTTAGAAGGCTCAGAATCCACAAGTGGTAGGTCACTCCCTTAAGGAAAACAGGTTTATGCATGTACACCTGTACCTGTTGGATGAGTCTGACACTTTTAAAAAAACAATTAACTGGGTACTTCTGCACTTAAGTGCTGACACAGCTCCCTCTTCCTCTTCCTGCTGATATTCTGTCCCCGAGAGTATACTGTGAGATAACAATTTATTGTTGTAATTATCCCATTTAAAATATATATATATACTGCAGTAAAAGCTGGCTCTTCAGTTTCAAAATTCAGTTCAATTAAACTATGATCACACAAATGAAACTGATGAGTTGAACTGTTTTTTTCGCTGAACTCCAATGATTTGGCTGTGCTATGACAACTCTTTCAGCCTAGTTTGAGGCATGTTTAATTAGATGTATGTTTTGAGATACTTTCCTTATTAGCCATCTTTAGGATTATAGTGTTATTTATTTGAGTTGGTTTTTTATCACCTACTCATAAATTAATGATAAAAATAACTTCCAGAGGAGGTATGGTTAACTGAAGATGTTTCTGAGAAAGCGGAGCCAACGACCGCAGCAAAGACCAAGGAACCAGTGAGTAGACTGGTTCCCTCGGAACCTCTCCGGATAAGGAGAGGACAGGAGACTGCCCACATGTGCTCTGGATGCTGCTCCTCACAAGGAGACTGCAGGAGACCAGTTTTCTGTGGGTCTGAGTGCCAGGCGACAAAGGGATTAGCCATCTTGTTTGCAACTGTGGCGGAGCCTTTTAAAGGACACTAAGTTCGCAAACTTCACTTTCTAATCACTTTCAGAAATTGCCTATTAACCATTTTAAAGCTATTAGAGACCTTTGGAATGACAAATTTGAAAAGTCTTCCTTTGGTGAATTTATCTTCAACTCTGAACAACAACAACAAAAAATTAATTATAAGCTTAAGAACTTAAAGAATTTGAAGTAAACAGCAAAAAGTTAAATAAGATTTTGATCTTAGAAAGTGTTGGGCCTAGCCCAAGGAACTCCAAGAAACAATGCTAATTCAGTTCAGCTATGTTTATTAGCTACAACCTCTAGCAAGAATCTTCCCAG